CCTGACTACAAGATCCTATATCTCTGACTACAAGGTCCTATATCTGACTACAAGCTCCTATATCCCTGACTACAAGGTCCTTTATCCCTGACTACAAGGTCCTATATCCCTGACTACAAGGTCCTATATCCCTGACTACAAGGTCCTATATCCCTGACTACAAGGCCCTATATCCCTAACTACAGGTCCTAGATCCTAAAAGAGGTACTCAGTTCTACAACAAATAGGAGGCCCTTCATCCGCACCTATACAGTCCCTAAACCCCTGTATACGGCCCTAAAATCAATCCCGGTTCTATATCTCTCGTTCCCTGGCTATATACAGTAACCCTGAATCCCTGACCCCACACACAGAGTCCTACATATCCCTGTGTATGCTAACTTAGATCCCTGGGATGTACGGCGCCACGGCCCTGTAACAGCCGCCGTCAGCAGCCACCGAGACTAGCGGAGACCGTCAGGGAGCCAGCCATCACGAGGCTCTGGCCAGGCCACCGTCAACCTTCCTATGACTCCCAATGTTTCCTTCACCTAATTTAAATAACAATCCTACGGAAGTACATTTCTAATATACGTATATTTTTTATAGGTATAGACAACTACCCAAAATATATCCCCCATGAAGATATCATTATAAATGCTTCCATTATATGTTTTTCCCCCATATTGCTTTGGTGTTTGGTTGACACTTCACCTTCAACAGTTTAAAAATGTATTTTATTGAATGAAATAATATTTATGCTGTAAATGCTGCAGACAAGGTGTATAACCCATCATGTCACAAAATGACTAAAAATGCTGAAAATTTTAGTCATTTCGCGAAATCTTAACGACTAAAACCAAACTTAATCTAACATGCCTGAATTTTTTTACAGTCAAATTGTGTACATGTAATACTAATACCTGTTTCAAGTTGTTTAGCGAAATTACTATTATTTTCAGTTATTTCTTGAAATAAATGATTACACAGTTTGATTGTAACATATAAACACATTTCTAACATATATTCCAACTTCTGTATGACCCTAAGATACCGATCAATGGAGAAAAAAAATATTAAGGGAAGCAGAAGAACAAGGTAATAATTATCTCGTCTTCTTGGGGGAAAATCTTCGTTGAAGACGTGAACAGCATGTGTGTGTGTGTGTGTGTGTGTGTGTGTGTGTGTGTGTGTGTGTGTGTGTGTGTGTAAGAATAAAAGAATAAAATCACCATAGTCATTTTCGTCGTCTTCACCATCACTATCATCCTCATCTTCATCACACCATCATCACCATCATTCTTCATCATTATCACCACAACGGTATTGTTGTTATCATCACTCGTATTTCACCCTACACTCGGGTTGGTGTCGAACATCAAAACACCTCCCCCAGCATGTTAAGACCTCGACACCCTACCCCCTCAAGGGTATACACCACTACCTAAAACACCCACCCGAGTATACACAATAGTTAAGGGTCTACAACTACCTAAAACACCCACCCGAGTACACAGATACACTTGCTGATGAATTTGAAGCAAGCAGACAAGTGCAAACAGACACTAGCCAATCCATTGTCATCCAAGATGAGATGTACCAGGTAAAACATGTATATGGAGCAAGTAACAAGATCACTAGATTACAAGATGTTGTACAGAAACTGCTACACTAAGGTTAGGATATAAGTACCCCTGGCAGTATACATGAGAATCTTACAAAATAGAACCTTTTAGGACAGCTCCAAGCACAATGAAAAAGTAATGGCACAGAACTTTATCTCGGATTCAAGATAGCTGATAAAACTAAAGCTGTATCCACATTTCGCATCTAGTACCTAAGCAAACTTATATGAACCGAATTAAAATTTGTACTGGAAATACTCTATATCACTAAACGCCACACTATCAAGACCATTGAATTCTGATAAACACCATTTGTGACCTTTACTCTGTAATCTTTTGTACGCTACAGCTCACTTACAGTACAAGATGAGTATGGGATGCACAATAAACTAGCTGCTGTCCGTGGCAAATTTCAAACACACGTTCAGGTACGCGTGTAATGTCCTCTATCAATGCAATGAAAATAGGCAACGGACCAACAGAGCCTCAGTCAAGACAAAACAAAAGATCCTCATGTCAGTCATAATACCTATTCAGTTCTAAAGTAACCTAACCCAAAAATTAGGGAATCCAGTCCTAATTACTCCCCTTAGTAGGTTCACAGTAGACCTATCTGATCGGACACATTTAGGGAACCTTCTACAGGGATTCGAACCCGTAATTAGCAAGGCCAGGAATTTCACTCAACACTTCTATATCGTGGTTCTGGCTGCCTCATTATCCAAGCTGCCACGAGTTACCTGTTTCTGTTGTTTATATGTATGTCTGTGTCTCAACAGCTAATGTCTTTAAGCATACACTGTGCTCTAAAGTGCGTCCATACACTAGACAACTTCACAAACCTCCATCTAACGGCCTTCCCTTTCCATATAATCCGTTATATGGAGATTCCACTGTACTATCAAAAGTTACAGAAAACGACACTGTACAGCCATTAAACTGACCAAATAGGAGACATTTAAGGTTATTTAGATATTCACTGCTTTCTCCTTGTTGATGTATAATGTATCATTACGCTTTACCAACTAAGGTATTTATACATGTATTCCGGGTTAACAAATACACTAGTCATCAACGATAAAAAATTAAAGAGATAAATCTATTTGGTTTCTCTTGCAGCCTATGGCCCGAAGAGCAAGTGTGAATAGAATAAATTAGGTTCGTCTTCCTTCAAACAATTTAATAATTTCCACATAAATCATCACTTATTTAATGTCAATTGAATCCAAAGTAATACCGAATCCAAAGTAATACCGAATCCAAAGTAATAATTCTCGTTTTCTCTGTTTCAAAGTTCAATCCAACAAAGGTATTTGGTCACGCCATTGTTCTTTATATTTCACTTCAAATAAATACATCAGTTAGATTTCTCATCCTTGGACTTTCAGCTCGGAGAAAACATTTAAGTTTTTTTCTAAAGCCCCAATCAAAGGGATTTTTCAGCACAGGTGTTCGTCTATTAAAAGCCAGCAAAGGTAATTAACTAACAGGTAATCACGTGTTGAAGGCATAGTACCACTATTTAACATATCAACTTAAACATACTGTTAGCTAATTAATTTCTTTCAATCTGAACCTTATGACCAGTTCAAATAATTATACAGGTATATAAAAGTATTCACTTCTTTATAATAATTCATAAATACATCATTGTAATTTATCATGTCAGTAGTTAGTCATTTTCAATAGATATTTCAAGACAAAAATACACTATCACACACACACACACACACACACACACACATGTATAGATATGTACATACCAAGATATGTGAAAACGCCTGACGCCAGGACTCTTGTTCAGGGCCGGCTTTAAGCCTATTTGACCAATTTAATCAAATTGGGCCCCGCGCCGCAAGGGGGCCCCGCACACACGTGTGTTAGTTTTAAACTGTATACGATACAAGGTTGTATGAGCATGAAAATTCTAAAAACCATTTGGAAGCCACATGGCAATTCTGGGAGTTATACCAAAGACATTATAGTTGACAGACTATTGACAAAGAACGTGAACTAACTATTAATAAACATGCAAAGTACTGGCAGCAAGTATTCAAAAGGCTAGTGGCAATAGTGCAGTTTCTTGCTGAGAGAAATCTAGCGTTAAGAGGGACAGAAGAAAAAGTTGGTAATGAGAGTGTACACAATGGAAACTTTTTAGGTTTAGTGGAGCTGTTTGCAAAGTTTGACTCTGTTCTTGAAGAACATTTACGTAAAGTCAAGGCCAACGAAATTCATAATCACTATTTAGGAAAAGATACTCAGAATGAACTACTAGACATTATGGCTACAGCTGTTTTGAATGAGATACTGAATCGCGTAAAAGCAGCTAAGTACTATGCCATAATTTTAGACTGCACACCTGACTTGAGCCACCAGGAGCAAATGTCTCTAACGATCAGGTATGTTTCTGATGGCAACTTGGCTCCTTCAGGTGTTTATGAACATTTCATACAGTTTATGCAGGTTGAAAGTAGCACAGGAGAAAATTTATATAAAACATTATTAAACACACTAGAGGAATTAAAATTGGATGTGAAAGACATTCGAGGCCAAGGTTATGACAACGGTAGCAACATGAAAGGTCACACATCGGGAGTACAAGCACGGCTGTTGCAGGATAATCCAAGAGCCTTCTTTGTACCCTGCGCATGTCACAATTATAACCTGTTACTAGGAGATGTAGCCAAGTGCTGTCCAGATGCTATAACATTTTTTGGGATCTTGCAAAGGATCTACATAATGTTCTCAGCATCAACAAAGAGGTGGGCAGTTTTTAAGAAACATGTACCTGGGTTATCAGTGAAACCCTTGAGCGACACAAGGTGGGAGTGTCGGATTGATAGTGTTAAAGCTATTCGTTATCAGGTTGGAGAAGTATATGATGCACTTGTGGAAACATCAGAGATAACAGATGAGCCCAAGGTAAAAGCAGAGACAGAAGGTTTAGCAAACCAGCTAAAAGACTATAAATTTTTAGTTTCTTTGATATTTTGGCATGATTTACTTTTTAAAGTTAACTATGTTAGCAAGGAACTACAAGGTAAAACAAAGGACATTGATGAAGGCATGGAGTCATTTGAAAAACTATTATCATGGCTAAGAAAATATAGAGAGAGTGGTTTTAATGATGTCCTAATAGGCGCAAATGATTTGGCTGAAGCTGTTGAATTACCACTAGAATTTAGGAAATTTCAAGATAAACGACTACAAAGAAGGAAGAGAATGTTTTCATATGAGGCAAAAGATCAAGCTTTCGATGATCCAAAAGAAGCATATAGAGTTCAGTGCTTTACCTTAGTGCTAGACAAAGCTATTCAATCTCTAGAATCTAGATTTATGCAGCTTAAAAGCCATATAAAATTATTTGGATTTTTAAATAACTTTCAGGGCTTACAAAAGGCAGAAATAAGGAAACACACAGTAGACCTTGAAGCAGCTTTAATTGACACCAAACTAAAACAGAACACTGATGTAGAGGTAGGTACTGTAACAAGTAAAGATGTAGATGGTTATCTGTTGGCTGAAGAACTTGAAGCTCTGAAAACTTTTCTGCCCACCAGTGTCGCCAAGCCCCAAGCCCTGTTTGAATACCTGGTAGTAAACAATCGATTCACTGCATTTCCTAATGTTTTTGTTGCTTTGAGAATTTACTTAACAATGCCCGTAACAGTCGCATCGGGTGAGAGAAGTTTTTCTAAACTAAAACTGATTAAAACATACTTACGGTCAACAATTTCACAAGAAAGACTAAACAATTTGGTGATGCTATCTATAGAAAGTGACATTACCAAAACCCTTGACTTTAAAATGATTTTGAAAGATTTTGCAAATAAAAAAGCCAGAAAAGTGTGTTTCTAAAAGGTCCGTGCATAAACAGTTTGTCTGTAATTGTCTTAACTTGTAATAAAAAATCAAAACTTTTATACTGTTTTTAAACTTTTTGTATATCAAGTAATTAATGCTTTTTGGCTAAGGCGGGCATACTACACGAAATATAAAACATCAATCTTCGACTTTGTAGAGTAGAGGGCCCCACTATCAATTTTCTAATTGGGCCCCGCAATTCCTAGCACCGGCCCTGCTCTTGTTACCATTCATTGTACCATTTATTCACATGTCTGTATTACTACATATTATTATAGCATGTCTGATATCTATGCTTATGTCTAATGCCTATGTTCATTTACTATGTCCCGATGTACTATGTCTGTACCGCGCTAGTCGAGTAATTAGAAGACCTCATTTATTGTCCTAGTAATGTCTAGCAACTCTCCTTGCCTAGCTAGCTAATTTCCCTCAGATCGGCTTCGGCCTGCCTACGACGAGGAGTTCCTTGTGCTGGCTCCTGTTCCTGTCCGGTTGGCTATCACGCCAAGTCTTGTACCACTTGTTGAATATATCTACTGCTCGTGCCCTGGAGTTTCAAGAACCTTGTCTAGGATTACATCCCACCACATGGCGCAGTTTGAGTAGCTCCAACACGACAGTTTACAAGCCTCAAGAGCCGGCCCCGTCTGTTTCCCGCCTCGTGTTTCCCGCCCAGAAGATATACTCCACAGTGCCCCTGGATTTAAAGTGCTTTGTGACCTTGTGAAGTGCAGTGCCTTTCATGTCTCTTTGCTATGTTTCTGCGGCCCTACAGGTAGCAGACACGCCTCCAGCCCAGTTTCCAAGACAGCACTTCCGGCATACATCCTCCATCCACGCAGGCCCGCAAGCCACTGATTGACTCCCTCCCCTCCACTGAGTCATCACCAGCATCTCGCCCGGGCGCGCGGAGGAATACACCGCTGCCAGCCGCCTCCTCTCACTTCACAAATATTACAGTCAGTACTCTTTTACTTGCCCACCGGTTCCTACACTTAAGCAAATCCATTGACGAAAACATAGCACTTCACCTTATTCTCCTTGTCTTCCCCATCGCAACAATACCAAACACGAGATGTCTGACCACGACGATTTGCTGGGAAATTTATATGAGGATTATGAGGAAGACGACGCCTCACAGACCCTCCCACCCCCCCTCACGCCTCACACGCCGGGCGCGCCAAATTCAAAGGATGGGAGCCAGGATATACGTCAGTTAATCCACTTCCTACAAGTTTCCCAAGAGAAGGAAGCCCAAAGACGTCAATTAGAGGAGGAAAAACGACATCAAGAGGAATTGTCAAGACAGTCAGAGGAATCAGCTTACCGTCTTCAACTTCAACAACAACACCAAGCTGATAACCGCAAATTCCTGGACCTATTGGAATTGCTGGCAACGAGGACGACTTCACCAGCTGCCACAACCAATTCGCCAGCTTCAGCCTCTTCATCTATCCTTCAGACAACGCCTCCTCACACGTCACCTATCTCCCCTAGGTATGCCTCAGTGTCTTCTCAACCACCTGTTCCAGTCTCAACTCTCGTCGACCTCTCCGTGCCTCCTCCACCGCCTGCCGTCTCGAGTACACCCCTGCACAGCAAGTCTTCAGTTCCCAGCCCCCCACCTCTTCAATCTGATGCAACATATCAAGTATACCGTCAATGGCGACGTCGTTTCGAAGACTTTGCTGTTATGTCTGACCTCAATCGAATGCCCCCTCATAAACAACTCATCCAATTAAGATCGTGCATTTCCCTCGATGTTCAACGCCTCCTAGAGCACACGCTAGCCATCCCCCCTGACTCCCCCAGGTCAGTGACAGAGGTTTTAAACGCCTTGCAGAGTCATTTCCGTGGCCTCCGCAATGAAGCTTTGCGTCGTAGGGAACTGCTATCCTGCAAACAAGCTTCTGGGGAATCATTCTCAGACTTCTATGCACGACTTAAGGACCTAGCAGCCGAGGTGGACCTATGTACAGGCGATCCTGTAACCTGTGCTGAGATCCAGCTCAAGATGATCTTGCTGATGGGTGTACGTGACGAGGACCTGCTTCAGAAACTCCTCACCCTCGACGCCGCCTCTTCCCTCACCGACTTCGTCACCTGTTGCAGGTCGTATGAGGCCACAAGAGAGGCTGCCTCAGCTATACACTCATCGCCATCTCAAGTCCACGCCGTCTCCACCTACAAGAGGAATCAACGCCAGATGCAGACGACGTCCTCTCCACAGCCCCCGTCACAGTCACCAGTTTCTTCTCCCGAATCCTGCAGAAACTGTCAGCGCCAGCATGGTCCAGGAAAGTGCCCTGCGGCTGATAGTACATGTCGAAACTGTGGGTTTCAAGGCCATTGGCCCCGCACAACTCGATGTCCTGCCAACAAGGCCTCATGCAACGCTTGCAACAAGCAAGGACACTTCGCCAAGTGTTGCAGGTCCACCAAGAAGCCTCCATCTCCAGGTCAAAACGTCTCTTTACAGCCCGACAGAACGTCCACACCACCGTCTCCCAAGAACAACAAAGGATGCCGACGCGTGGATGATGCCTCGAGTGACAGGTCCCCCAAGCCCGTCAATGTTCGTCTGTCCTACGGTACCAACTCTTCCAACCTCCTGATGATACCTGACACGGGCGCGGACATCACGGTGATTGGACCAACACACCTGGACGCCCTCAACATTCCCAGGAGTAGCCTGTCACCCACAGCCATGAACGACGTGCTCACAGCGGACGGGTCCCCGATGTCTCCACCTTTGGGTTGCTTCAAGGCAACACTACAGCTCGGTCCCAAGTCTTGCCTTGCCACAGTCCACGTCCATGAGGGCATCCAAACCCCTCTCTTGTCATGTGGCCATTGTCAGGACTTGGCCATCGTCTCATCCGAGTTCCCAAAGCCCATCCTCGCCGTGACACACCTCAACAGGTGTGCAGAGATACCTGTTTCAGCCATGACCACACCTGCTGCCGCCCGGGAGTTCTTTTTTCGTCAGTTCAGCGACGTCCTTGTCTCCAAGCCCGACCTCCAGAAGACGCCGCTCAAGAAGATGACAGGCCCCCCGATGAGAATCCACCTCAAGCCTGGCGCGACGCCTTTCGCCATCCACACACCCAGGCCTATCCCCTTTGCCATACGGGACAAGGTGAAGGCGGAGCTCGATTCTCTGGTGCAGCAGGGGATCATCAGACACGCCGGTGAGGAGCCCTCCGAGTGGTGCCACCCTATGGTCTTGGCACCCAAGCCTGTAGGTGTTCGCATCACAGTGGACCTCACCCATCTCAACTCGCAGGTCTCCCGTCCCGCCCATCCATCGCCTACGCCCATCCAAGCAGTCCGCAGCGTCACCCCGTCTGCAAAGTTCTTTACCACGGCGGATGCACTACATGGGTACTGGCAAGTCGACCTGGCGGAAGAAGATCGCCACCTCACTACATTCATCACGCCCTACGGCCGCTTCCAACACTGCCGCGGACCCATGGGCTTCGCAGCAACGGGGGATGCGTACTGCCTCCGTGGGGATATGGCTCTGCAGGGTGTCACCAACTGCGTGAAGGTCGTAGATGACATCCTGCTCTTCGACGATGATCTCCCGGCCCACTTGAACCGAGTTCATCTGATGCTCACAAGATGTCGTGCCCATGGTATCACCCTGAACAAAGATAAATTTGTGGTCGCCGCCCCCCAAGTTAACTACTGCGGCTACAACATCTCGCCAGAGGGGATCTCAGCTGATGAGGAGAAGGTCAAGGCCATCAGGGACTTCCCTACTCCAGCGAACCTGACCGACCTTCGCTCATTTATGGGCCTGGTAAATCAGCTGGCCGACTTCTCCCCTAAAATCGCCACATCAGCCCAACCTCTACGCCCCCTCATGAGCCCCAAGCGCTCTTTCCTCTGGACTCCTGACCACGACCTAGCGTTCAGGAATGTTAAGAAGGCGTTGCTGTCACCACCAGTCCTGGCACCCTTCGACCCGTCCTTACCAGTGGTCCTCCAGACCGACGCCTCCCGTCTATACGGCCTCGGATATGCCCTCCTTCAAGACCACGGCCAGGGTAGACTGCGCTTAGTTCAGTGTGGCTCCAGGTTTTTGACGGACACGGAGACCAGATACGCCACCATTGAACTAGAGATGCTGGCAGTCGCCTGGGCTATGGCCAAGTGCCGCCTTTACCTGTTCGGCCTTGGGCATTTCACCCTCATGACGGACCATCGCCCGCTCATACCCATTCTTAATCACTACACGTTGGACGCCATCGAAAATCCTCGCCTCCAACGTCTCAAAGAGAAGACCGCCCCTTACGTCTTTACAGCTGTGTGGCGCGCCGGGAAGCTTCTGTGCATACCAGACGCCCTCTCCCGAGCCCCTGTTAGTCGCCCCACACCTGAAGATGAAGTCGACTGTACCACGGCCGCTGCTCACGTTCGGTCTTTAGTGACACACACAGCCACTTCTCTTGCTGACAAGACGACGACGACGCCCTCCATCGAAGACGATAGGACTCTCCAGGAGCTTCGCATCGCCGCCGCTCAAGACCCGGCATACGTCCAACTCCTCGACTACGTCTCCGCTGGATTCCCCACCAACCGCTACGACATTCACGCCTCCGCCCTCCCCTTCTGGAAGCTAAGGGATAGCCTCTATGCGGACGGAGAGCTGGTGTTGTACGGCCCCAGGATCGTCGTTCCCGCTGCCCTCCGCCGGCGCACCTTATCCCGCCTCCATGACAGCCACCGCGGCGTTGAAGCCACCAGGCGCAGAGCCCGTCAGACCGTCTTCTGGCCTGGTATTGACGCCGATATTAAGAGCACGGT